CGCTCTTCACAGAGGCTGGTGTTGTGGGGATTGCTCTACCCAGGGTCTCCCCACTGAGGTAACTGCAACAGCTGGATCATGTTGCTGTGGGTTCCTTGGTTGTGGGCAATTGCTCAAAGCAGGTCACAGTGTGCTGGTGGCTTGAAGCTGGGGGTGGTCCCTGGCAGGGATTTTGAAGCAGCTCTTTCAACCCTGTTTTGGTTGTAGAGACTCTGGGGTGGGGTCTTGGGATCCAGATACAGTGCTGGAGACTTGGTGATGGTGTCTCTGGCCTGGCAGGATTTCTGGAGGCTCAGAGGTGGAGCCTCAGGCTCTGGTGTGAGAACTTCTGAGCTGGGCCTAGGAAGAAGCTGCAAACAGAACCTGTTTACAGGCCTCTGAGCCAAAAGCAGTGCCGTGCAGATGGCGGCCATCCCACCTAGAGAGCGGGGTCAGGGCCAAGCAGGCAGGAGGTAGTTGCTGCTGTAGGGTGAAGTCTTGGCCCAACAAGCAGCAGCAGGCTGCTTGGAAGGCTCTGGGTCTCACCAGTGCCAAATCAGGCGGGCTGAGATCGGCTCTGCCAGATAAGGGGCCATAGAGCCCTCCATGCTCCACTCAGGGCCTGCCAAAGGAGCCACCCAGAGCCTCTCAGGGCAGAGCTTGTTGTGTCCTGGCGTGAGATCCTCTGAGCTGGGACTGGGGTGGATCCAGAAGCAAAGTCTCAGACCACGGTCTCTGAGCCAGGGGTGGGAGCTGTGCAGATGGTGGGCAACTTGACCTGTAGGGTGGCATCAGGGCCAGGCAGACAGGAGGCAGTTGGTGCCTGGAGGGCAGGTTCCAGGCTGAGGAGGCTGCACACTGCTCCTTAGGCACAAGGGTCTCATGGATGCAAGATCAGACATGCAGAAGTCACAGCTCTCCATGCCCATGGTAATGGATATTTTCATAACCTTAATTTGATCATTTCACATTGGATACATGTGTTAAAATATCAATTGTGCCCCCAAAATATATACAAATATTATGTATTAATTGAAAATTAAGAAAAGAAAATAATAAAAATAAAAACATCGTGAGTTAAATTGAAGAATAGTAGAACGTTCAATGGGAAACATTAATTTTAGTAACTGAAGATCTACCTCAGTGGAGATCTAACCAGGAGTTCAGAGTGCTTTTAAGTTTCTGAAAATTGAGGGAGTTGGGGGAAGGAGAGGAGGCAGGGGAGAATTAATCATTCTTCTGATAGAACAGTGTGTTTTTATTTTATTTTTTACTTATTTGACATTTTTGAGACTTTATCTTTGGTAGTGCCAGGAACAAAGTGATACACAGAACATGTTAAGGTCATGAGTGTTACATATAGAAGATTCATGATGTGTGGTGGAAAACTGAGGATACACTGTTTCATGCTACTGAGTAAACAGCATAAGGCAGGAAGGTCTTAATTGTGGAGATACAGTTTCAACCCGGTATTGAATGGTAAGAAGACCTTTGTAAGTAAAAGAAGGTATATGTGGGATTAAACATTGGAAAAAGATAATTCAGGTAGTGATGATAAGTGCACAACTATGGATATGGGGTAGAGGACCATGGAATGATTGTGCAATTCCCACTTACTTGATGTAGCTGGAGACGAATGGGGAAGCATAAGTGGAAAATAGAAGATTTTAAAAAACAATCAAACAGAAGAATTTAGATTTTAATCTGCAGATCAGAGGTTCTGATTTCTTAGTTGCATAACAATCACCTGTGGAGTAACTGACAATGAATATGACGTGTAGTAAGATACTGTGAGGTAGGAGATTCAAAGGTTAAACTTGAAGCATCATGGTTCTAGACTATAGACTGGCAAACATTTTCTGTAAGGTATAGCAAATATAACTTTAGACAGTAAATAGTTTAGTTTTTTAGGCCATATAGCAATTTGAAGATTTTATGTAGGTTCCTGTATAAAAAAAGGAAAAATAAATTCCCATAACTTTTTCTTGACAAGATTCAAAGTATAATAATAATAATAATAATAATAATTGAGTACAAGTTTTGTAATGCAAATCTACCAAAGAGAAGAATGGATTTCTTTAGAGATAAGATTTCCCTTAGTAGGGGTTCAAAATTAGTGTTACCTAGCATCAAAACCAATAAGAAATGTTTATTTATTAATATATCCAATGAGATTGTACATATTTAATCTTTGAAACTGTCTTTTCAAATAAGTCGACCCTACTAAGTACTGATCTTAATCCATGAATATATGCATTGCTTGGAAGACAATTATAAAGTTCTATTAGAGTGTTCTCTTGATATTATTAATAGGTTAGGTGGAATCTCCTCCATTGCAAGGTTAAATAGATATTTAAATATAGAAGTTTCCTTCCTGTTTTATCAAGGCGTGAAAATGCTGCCTAGCTAGTAATATAATTTGAAGTTGAAAAATACATTTGCCGTAAATTTGTGTGGAAAAATTGTTCTTCTTGCTTTCATTTTTTTTTTTTTAGCACCGGAAGTATATAAACCAGCTGATAGTACTTGTGGTTCAACAAACATTAGTTGTCTTCGGGTGACTTTAGAGTAGTGTAAGAGTCCCTTGTAAGTGATGTTTTACCTCACAATTTTAGGTTGAACTCATAGAGAAACATTACCAAGTTCACAGCTTAAGCTAATTTCCAAAGTCATTTTCTGTCTGATAATACAGGATGATTCTTTTTATTCAGCAACACTTCGCTCTTGGCTCTGAGCTCAAAAAATTATGAAAAATTTTTTACCATGGCTAGCTAATCTTTGGATTAGCAGGAATATATGGCCCTTATGGAGGAGAAAAATCACTGAAGAGGAAAGATGAATAGCCTTATATATCTACTAAAAAAATAAAATCTATAGTGAAAACGATACAAAATTATAGTGTTAAAAAAAGACAAAACAAAAACAACAAACAAAAATGAAACAACACAAAAAATCTATAGGGCCAGATAGATTCACTGGTGAATTCTGCAAAACATTTAAAGAAGAAACAATTTCAATTCTACGTAAATTCTTTCAGGGGAGAAACTACTTTGAAACTAATTCTTTGAGGCCAGAATTACTTTGATACAAAAATGAGATGAAAATATTGCAAGAAAGGGATAGTATAGACCAATAGCTCTCATGCATATGGACGAGAAATATGTGAATGTAATTTTTGAAAATTGTTATGGACTGAACGTTTGTGTGCTCCCCGAATTCATCTGCTGAAACCCTAACCCTGATGGGATGGCATTATGTGGTGGGGCCTTCGGGAGATAATTCAATCATGAAGGCTTGGCTCTCCTAGATGTGATTAGTGCCCTTTTAGAAAAGACAGAAGAACTTGCTTTCTCTCTCTCCCCTCTCTCATCCATTGAGGATACAAGGAGAAAACAACCGTCTGTAAACCTGGAAAATTGTCGTCACCAAACATCAGATCTGCCAGAGTATTGATCTTGGAACTCATGGCTTCCAGAATTGTGATAAATAAATGTTTGTTGTTTAAGCCATGTAGACTATGGTATTCTATTGTGGCACCCCAAACAGACTACGACAAAAATCTATCCAACACTGAATGAAAATAATAATACATCATGACTAAATGGACATTATTGTGTAAAGAGTGCTTAAACACTTGAAAATTCATCACTATAATTTTTTAGATTAAGAGATTAAAAACAATATCATCTCATAGATCTGGTAAATTATAACATCTGTTCTTGAGAAAATTTGATAAAGGGAATCTACAGAACACCTACAGATTCCATCATAGTTAATACTGCAATATTGAATGCATTCCCTACCAAAGATCAGAATAAGGCAAGCATTTTTATTCTCACCACTTCTATCCTACATTGTGCTGGCATTTCTCACCAGTTTAATAAGGCAACGTAAATAAAAGGCAGGTGGATTGGAAAGGAAGCTTTATTGGTAGATAACAGAAACTGGTATAGTAGGTTGTACAAGCTCAAGAAGTGTTTGCTGAATGCATAACAATTAAACTTAAACTTTTGATTTTTTAACAGCTTTATAACATGCTTTATTTTATATTTCCCCCAGCATTGTATGAATATCTATGCCACTGGCTCGCTGTCTTTCTGAGAACAAATAGTACATTTCAAAATCTTTGTTGCTTTGGCAAATGAAATTGTTAGTCCACTTTTATGTATATTTCTTTGATCACCATTAAAATGAACTCTTTTCATTTACTTTATATATTTATTATTTATATAAATTTTTGCCCCTGAAAATTACTTCCTGGTCCATGCCCATTTTGTATTGAAGTACAGTTCTATTCAATATATATTAAATATGTACACATATGTGTGTAAATTTTGAAATCATTTGCCATTTCAATTGTACTTTAATATTCAATATTTATAATATTTTTAAATGATTCATGTTAGTTTAAAATATGAAGCCAGAAAGAATGCAAAGAAAAAAACAATAGAATTTTATCATTAAAAGGAAACCATTCTCATAATTTTTGTGATTTTATTTCCAAAGAGGTAATTAGTACTATTAATTACATAATCTTTCAATCTGTGACAATTGGTGCCCAAAATTTGATATGTAAGTGTTTATACATACTTGTGTGTGTTTCTGGAATTGTTATGATTGGAGGTTGCATTGGCTATTACTGTTTTCATGATTGTAGCTTTATAATAGAGTCCAGCATAAGCTTTACCATATATGAATCGGCCCCATCGTCTCACTGTGTTGCTCTTTTTCCTAAATTGTCTTGGCTTTTATTAATATCTAGATTGATTTGGAAGTTCTGCAACTTCTTTACAAAATCAAACTATCACTTGGTGGAATTACTATTTAATTACATTTAAGTAATTAAATGTAATTAGTAATTACATTTAAGTAATTACTAATTATTTAAACTCACGAATTATTTTGGGACAATTTATATATTTAGTGCCATCATTGTAAATAGCATCCACCTGTCCATTATATTTTCAGCTAGTTTTGTAGATATATAGGAATAATCTTGACTTTTTTCCTCTTATTTTTCTTTGCCTTGGATCAAGTCTTGGGAACTCCTTAAAATTGTGTTACTTTCATGCAATTATCTTCCTGCTTTACTTTTCTTGTTTCTTTTCTGCTGACAAATAGAAATTTAAACAAAAACAAAATCAAGAAACAAAATAGAAAGAAGATATGGAACAAGTGTATATATCTTGCCTGCCTAAGGACAAGCTGAACCTCTATCCACCAACTTTGTTACCCACAATCCCCTGGATTTCCATACTATTGTGCTAGAAAAGGCTCTGATACCTGGGCATACCTGCGACGGCAGCGTTGAACATTGCTGCTCTCACCATTGTCTCTTTAGACCTTTCACCAATGACATTTTGGAAAATCAAAGGATGAAATGAAATTCTTGAGGCTATATCCTTATTTGTCCTCATTTTTAATTGTTTTTTCTTATCTCAATGACTCTCTCCTCACAATTTCTACTGCCTGTGGTAGCAAATTTGACTAAATCTTGCAGGTATCCCATCAAGATCCACTCCCTTTAATATACTGTTATCTTTGCAAAGAAGATATTGCTTTGTGCTCTAGTCCCACAATTCTTCCTTGACTGAAGCAATAATCAGAAATGTATCCAGGAGGCAATCTCATTTCCTTCCCACAATATATCTAGCACCCACTGGGCTGATGGGTGATAAAATCAGGGGATGGGAATGAGCCATTTGTATCCCAGCAGATTTATGCAAGAAGAACAGGAGCACATATTTCCTATTAGAGCAGAAGGTATGTGCTATTCACAATAGGGCTAAGTTAGGCCTTTCCACCACTAGAGCTACTGGTGTGAGGCGGTCTGTGTGACCTGGGTGGCCTTGAGGGGACTCTGCCACTATGTGGGTGGAGGTGAGGCTGCCACTGAATTAAAGGCCATGGGGACATATGGAAATAGGCCAGGTCTGAGCCTATGTGAAGAACAGAAGGCTCCAAATGATCGTTGACCTTTGTCATCACAGAGCCGTAGCACACAACCACTCCCCACTCAGGTGCCAGGTGGAGGGTTTACTCACTCATTTTCCACATCCTGGATAGTGTTAGGAAGAGGCAGATTCTTGGTTTCTGGGAGGAGGAGGACAACAAGGCCAGCAAGGATGGGAAAGACTCCATAGGTGATCCAGGGCAGGTAGGGAGAAAACCCCACGAAGATCATCAACAGAGGAGCCAGTGCTGCCCCAATCCTACTGAACAGTATATTGATTCCTCCACCTGTGCCCCTAAGGGTGCAAATAAAATACAAAAATATCTTGCATGGATCTGTACATATAAGTTTTTATTTGTTATCTTTAGTCATTATGGTGGACAATACAACACAGTTATTAAACACATGGGCTTTAACAGCAGGCTCTTAATTGTGACATTTAACTCTATTGGTTTCAATTGTTTGTTAGTATTATGTTGGTAACTGCTCTAAATCCCCGTTTCATCATTATTGAAATAGAGATACCCACAGCCACAATCCAGCAGATTGCTCATTAAGATTGAGATGATGCTTTAAAGGACTTGGCACTTTGCCAAGCATAAACTTAGCTTTAAGAATTCTTGGCTATCAGTCAGTTGCTGTCTTCATTTCTATTGCAATTCATTCGTCTGACACCTAAACAGTCTCAGTTTTTTCTCCACAGTAAATGTTAATGAGCTCAGAAAGTCCTGTTTTGAAACCAGATGGTCCTTAACTCTTGTACCTGAGTACGGTGGGGATGAGCTCGGAGAAGTGGACAGAACCGCTGGTAGTAGCAATGCAAAGGACCCCTGCTCCCAGAGTTGCTAAAATCGTACGCAGGGTCTGCATTTCTAGAGAGAGGAAGATGGTGAGAGTCAGGAAATTTTGGCTGAAAAAATCTGCCACCCCCTAAATCCTTATAAAAAGATTCTGTTGCAGGGCTTTGCAAGTGTGAAATATGTGGAAGAAAAACAGTAGCATACCAGAGATTAGGGAATGGTGTATAAACTAAGCACTGTAGACAGCAGAATTTTAGGGCTTAAACATTAAATAATAGGACCAATATCAGTGGGTTCAACTCTCCCTACATCTCTGAGTATTGCCACCAGTAAAGTTGGAAGTAGGGAGTCAGGAAATACTTGCATTATTCATTCTGTGTAATACTTTCTCTGCACTTGCTGTAGGGCACAGAACTAAATATGGATAACAACTGGAAAGTTTATCAGGCACATCTTGAGTAGATTACAACTAAGAGTGTGGGAACAAACTATGATATGGGACAGGTATTACACCATATAGTAGCAGGAAGAGTGGGTTGATTTGGGAGTGGACAGGGTGAAGAGACAGAAGTTCTAGAATAATAATTCAGGATTATAAACCTAACATTTGTTCTCCCAGCTGGAATCAAATAATGCCATATTGGGAAACACTGAGACTGAAAATTCAAAGAGACACTTTAGAAATTCAATAAAAGTAATCAACATAGGACTAAAATATGAAGAGGGCTCTCCTGCAAGGCAGCCACATTGCATAAGAAGGAGGAGTGGAAACCATCAGTCTGGGATCCTGCCAAATACATTCCAGCTCTGGGAGACCCGTGGATCATGGAGACCACTGAAGTTCCCGTTATCACCGCATAAGGTCATTCTGTTGATTTCCCAAATGGATTCTAGGAGAGGCTAAGTCAGTTTCTTAATCTGATTCTTGTTTAGGGACAGATTACAAAACAGATTAAGAGACATATTAAGATGAGACTCTTGTTTCTACTGTACACTTCTTTTCTGCTTCAGGACAAGGGGTTTTTATTTCATGGAAGTCAAGAAGCCTCTCCTACAAAAGTGTTGCATTTATGGTGATTTAATACCAAACTCAAAAGTGAAAAAATAGGGATGAGGGAGTAGACAATTTGGGGAGGCCTTAAAAGTCGGAAAATCTCCAGGACAGAAGAGATGAGATCACCATGTTCTCACTCTGCCCCTCCATGGTTGTTGTTAAAACTGTAAGTAGCCAAAAGGTATGTGGTCAGTTATTCTTGCAAAGAAATTGTTAGGTGTAATTGGAGCCAAAGTCCAGATTCATTTTGGATGCAATGAAGAAAATCCTGTGTCTGAACCACCCATTGGTGACCTTGGTTCAGTAAGAGCCCACGTCCTGCCATGACTTGTCAGAATCAGTTCCATACCATCATATTAACTTCAGGGAACCTTTTGGCTTTCAGTGACATTGCCATTCTTTTGCTATCAGGCAAGTAAGACCAGTGTAATTCCTGAGGAATGGGGGAAACCACACTCTTTCTGCAAACTCCTGTCTTTCTCACCTTGGTCCAAAAAGGTGTTGACCAGAATGAACAGTCCTACTGGTAACAGGAACAGCACTTGGCTTATTCGACGACCCATATAATTCATTACCAAAAGGGCAACAAATCTGGCTGTGGCTGTGATAGCTCCAAAGAGAACCTGGAACAGGTAGATATTCCTCCCCAAGTACTGCAAGTTGAATATCAGGCCATAAAGAGGTACAGAGACTGCCAATCTGAAGTGAATAAAAGTAGTAAAGACATATTTAATCAAATTTAAAGCCTAAGAACCATTTCCTAAGATTTTGATGGGTAAGTGCTATGTTCAAAATTATTATCAATTGGTGATAATAGTGGCCCAGGTGGCCTTTGGTCAGTGCTGAAGAAATAGGTTCATTCTGTTTCAGAGAATATTTCTTTTTAAGGCAATGATCTAAATTAACATGAGATTATTGTGAAACATGATGTTAAAATGGGCTCTCCATTGCCATCATTTTCACTGAGTCTCCAAGAAAGAGGTTACAAATACACACATATCCAGCGAAAGTTTATACACCCAGCGATATAGAAAAAGTAATATGAAATCTGAGTTTGTCACTGCACTGAAGGGTATAAAGGATGGAACATAGGGTTAGATGGTGGGAATCAGGGAAATTGTTTGCAGAAGTTCAGCATTGTGTGAGTCTCTCTTCTCTCCTCCTGTTTTGAGACCTTCTTCACCTTAATCCTAGTGAGTGGGGCCGCAAGACATTATACGGAATTTGCCTTGTGTTTTCAGGATCTGAGTATAGTTGTGGCCTGACATTTCTAAGCACTGTATGTAAGAGCAGAAAGCAATGAGCTGGTATCAGAATTGAAATAAAGAACCTGGCAGCTAAGTATACTTTCAGAAATATACTCAAGGATGCATGGATATGCTCATAGATCCACATCAGTTCTGGAAGAGATAGGTGATCTGGAATCATTTTCTTTTTTTCATATTTTAGAGTTTTATTTATATGAAATATCCAGAACAGGAGTCACTTTCTTCTTCTTTTTTTTTTTTTTTTTTTTTTTGAGACAGAGTCTCACTTTTGTTGCCCTGGCTAGAGTGAGTGCCGTGGCGTCAGCCTAGCTCACAGCAACCTCAAACTCCTGGGCTCAAGCAATCCTCCTGCCTCAGCCTCCCAAGTAGCTGGGACTACAGGCATGCACCACCATGCCCGGCTAAATTTTTGTATATATATTTTTAGTTGGTCAATTAATTTCTTTCTATTTTTAGTACAGACGGGGTCTCATTCAGGATGGTTTCGAACTCCCAACCTTGAGCAATCCGCCCGCCTCGGCCTCCCAGAGTGCTAGGATTACAGGCGTGAGCCACTAGGAGTCACTTTCTTAATCTGATTCTTGTTTAGGGACAGATTATTAAATAGATTAAGAGGGAAGGGGAAAATAGCATTGGGGTAGGACAAGTGACCAACATTAGGGCAATATACAACCTAATTCGCAGAGTGTAGAGAGAAAATTTATGCAGAAGCCAGAAGAAATGCATATCTCACATCCCAAGAAATGCAGTGAGATGCCAAAGAGTTCCAGTGAGGCCTCCAGAGGATTTACATAAAAGCACCCGGGGAAAGGAGTCTGATTTGACAGGTACCATGTCGAGCTTCCATTTACCAATGCTCAGCTCTCTCCTTCCCGTTAGCTCTTCTTCTTTTCCCAGCGCTAAGTATGTAGAATCGATAAACCTGGCCCGCAGGCTAGAGGCGTTGAGAGGAAGCACAGCCTGATTAGATAGAGAAACAGTCAAGAATATCTCATCAACCCCAAGGCTTCCAAGTTCAGCTTGAACTAGAGAAACAGAGAAGCTCCAGCTCTGAATGCAGATCTGAGGTTTAATTTTTGTACTTGGCTGAAATATATTCATTACTAAAATGAGGCTATTCTTCCGAGTGCAGAGATGGGAGGTTTTTATTCCGGAGAAGGACAATATATGTTATGTGGCTTGTGAGAGGTTTCATCCGAGGATAGGGAAAGAGCCACAGTGCAGGATTAAGAGAAGGGTGAGAAAGGATGAGGTAAGGATCATCATTTTCTTCTTTTGTGATCAGACCCTATGTGTTCTCCTTATTCAACATGAATTATTTTGATAAAGCCAACAGAGAAAATTTAAGAAAAAACTCACATATTAGAAAAACACAAAGGGGAGTCAAAAAGTTGAGTGACCAGAGACATTGGCTGCCACCTTGTCCTAGAGGGAATGTTCTACGTAGGGGAAAGGGGGAACGGAAAGAGCCCAGGTGAAGTTTGGGGGCGAAAGGCACAGGAGCCTGCTGGGGACTTCCTGGAAAGAAATAGTGAAATAGAAGGAGAAAAAAGGATGTCAGCAGAAATCTATCCCCAAGAATCTTAGGGCTCGGCGAATGTGGACATGCGGTTTCCTTTCCCTTTCCCACGCACCTCCAGTGGTCGGCAGGCTGCCGAGCTGCTTGGGACCTTTTCCACCCATACCAGCTCAAATGCGGCTGCCACCATTGAACTGGGACCCTCTTGAAAACGAAGCGTTGGGCTTCCAGCTGCTTTGGGGGTCGCCTGTGGCCACAGCTTGAGCCAAGAGTAGCTGCCATACTGCTTCCCACTCACACTGCCCCTCCCTCTGCCCCAGGGAGCTGCACCCTACAGTTTTCACATCACCTGTTCCCATACACAGAGCTTCCAACTCCTGCCCCTATTGTGGTCAACCCCAGAGAACTTGTGCGATCCCAGAGCTTGGACCTTTCCTGAGAGCTTCCTTCCAGGGGCAGAGACTGGGAGAACTGGAATGCCCTTTCTCTTTCACTCAAACTCTTTCCTCCCCACTCCTCCCTGCTCACTGCAGCTGAGAGGGGCCATTGAAGGAGACGTTCAAAAGTGGCCCCCTGCACTCGGCTGGCGTGCCCTCCAATCTGGGGTTTCCACAGAGAGAGGGCCGACATCTTTCCCCTTGAGGATCTGCAGTGGACCTAGGGGTGCTAGGTCTGGGAGTTCCCTGCCCACCAAACTCCCCACACCTCTGCCATGTGCTGGATCCCCTTTTCCCTGGAATTCCCTTTTCCCAGGGGTTGCTTAGGGGCACAGAGAGGAGAATTGAGAGCTAAATTCAAGAGGTGGACAGGCCCACACGGGCAGAAAAGACAGAAGCGAGCACTGTAGTTCAGATCCACAACAAATTCATGGCGAATCCATCCCCCCAACCCACCACAGGAAAACCACACCTTTGGACTTGGGCAGGTCCGTGGATGAGGTTGTTCCTGGCCCGAGGTGCCACTGCTGGTAAGCAAAGCGATTTGAATTGCACATGGCGCCTTCCTGGGTAGCAGACTTTGCGTTTTGGTAGGGCCGCTCCATCCACCTTCCTGGACACCTTCCCCAGCAACCTGGGAGCTGACCTTTTACCCTTGCTGGGACAGTTCTATGACTTATGTCTGTGGACCCTGGAGGCAGGCTTGCCTGACCTAGCCATGTTCAAGATGGCGCCTCTACCTGCCTTTGCTGCAGTGGAAAACAAGTTATCCCCCACCCCCCACCCCTCCAGCTTCAGGGCCTCATCCACTGCCTGGGGCATTTAAGTTTTTCTTCTGAGGGGGTAAAGCTGATTACAGGCCCTGCTAATAACTAAAATGCTCTTAGCTTGGAATAATGGACTCTGAAGTTTTTATTTTCCAAGTTGCTCTTTCTCTAAAATACCCTATACAGAATAACAATCTTGTTTTCCATATGATAACTTTGGTGTTACATTGGGTTAATGTTTAAGGAAAGTTGGTCTGGGCCTTTTTAAAAACACGATTATATACTTTTGATATACAGTTGATTCAGATGTGTCAAAACCTAAATTGCTTAAGCACCTGCTAAATCAAAATGCCAAGAATAACTTAAATCCTGAAGTCTTTGTATCATAATACGTTCTTAGTAAGGTTGTGCCAACCTGTATAGTATACAAGGGGGAGGGGTGTTTTGTATATATATATATGTATATATATGTATGTATATGTCTTTGTGTATACACATATCAAAGCTATTTTCTTATGAAGACTTCCCTCTCGCTATGCCATCAGTTTCTTAGTTCCAGAAGTTATATTTTTATCTTGAATTGTGAATAGACTGAATAAAAAAGTATTTCCTAATTATTGTACAAAAAGTAAAGAATATCCCAAAGATTGTATTCATCGTAATCAAGTAATGCAGTCATCTCTCCTCTCTTGAAATCTTTCTGGACTTCTTAGGCTGTGATAAACTGTGCCAATTAAAAAATTTAAACTGAAAAAAAAATATTGTTAAAATATCCATTCTGCTTAAAGTGATCTACAGAATTAATGCAATCCCTATCAAAATTCCACCATCATTCTTTACATATTTAGAAAAAATAATTCTATGCTTCATCTGGAACCATAGAAGACCTGGTATAGCCAAAGCAACTTTAAGCAAAAAGAAAAAATTGGGAGGCATCAGTCTGCCAGACTTCAGTCTTTACTATAAGGCTATAGTAACCAAAACAGCATGGTATTCGCACAAGAACAGAGATATAGACCTTTGGGATAGGACGGAGATCCCAGATATAAAACCATCCTCATATTGTCATCTAATCTTTGACAAAGACAAAAGTATACACTGGGGAAAAGAATCTCTATTCAATAAATGGTGCTAGGAAAACTGGATTCCACATGCAGAAGATTGAAACTGGATCCCCACCTCTCACCTGTCACAAAAATTAACTCACATTGGATAACAGACTTAAACCTAAGGTGTGAAACCTTAAGAATTCTGGAAGAAAACATGGGGAAGACTCTTTTAGATATTGGCCTAAGTAAAGAATTTATGAAGAAGATCCCCAAAGCAATCACAGTAGCAACAAAAATAAACAAATGGGACCTGATCAAATTAAAAAGCTTCTCACAGCTAATGAAACTGTCCCTAGAGCAAATAGACAACCTTCAGAATGAGAGAAAATATTTGCTTTCTACACATTCCATAAAGGGGTAATAATAAGAATCTATATAGAATTTAAGAAAATTAACAAGAAAAAATCAAACAACCCCATAAGTAAATGGGCAAAGGACATGAACAGAAATTTTGCAAAAGAAGATAGAATAATGGCCAGAAAACATATAAAAAAGTGCTCAACATCTCTAATCATTAGGGAAATACAAATCAAAACTACAATGAGATGTCACCTAACTTCAGTGAGAATAGCCTATATCACAAAGTCCCAAAATAAACA